TAGCCACACACACAGCTGTACCTTTTAAAAAATGAGCAATATCATAGATGGAGCCTAACTATCAAATTTAAAAATTAAAATTCATCTCTATTTCTTGGGCATCCTTTAGTTATACACAAACCTAGACACTGTTCTCAATACCAATACATCTGATAAATGTGCAAAAATTGGGTGATACTGAATCATGCTTTTCCATCTTTCTGTTTTGACCCTTGTATCCTACTCGATAGTGTTACAAGGCCATTCCTTCTTTAAGTATTCGGGTTTAATGTGTGTGGGGAAAACTTGATTTTAAATCTTACTTATAATAACTGAGTCACAGGGCACTGTTAACTTAAATAGCAAATTCTAATTACACAAAACTTTGCAAATGGCAATGACCTTAAAAGGAACACAAAATATTTCTGAATTATAACAGAAAGAGCCACAGAAATCACCTGTAGCATTTTTTCATCTGATACCAAACTTACATGCTTTCATCACCTTAATTCTAAGGTACAGTTCTAAAACTAATTTCATATTCCATCACCATTCTTTATTTGCTTCAAAGACCAAAAGGAAGCACAACTGAAAAAAAAATAACTCTCATCATTATTCTGCCAAAGCATCATTTGCCAACCTCTTGAAACATGAGTTGTGTTGAGAAAGAACAAAGAATGTACTTCTGCTAACTGGAAGGACAGCTGCCTCCTCAGAATAAAAAACCTCTTCAAGATATGTATTAACCCCTTAATAGAGGCTAACTCAAGGCCAACCAACAGTGAACACAAGGTATTTGCAGGTTTCTAATGTTAATAATGCTCCATCTAACTGAAATCTGACATCTCAGAAGAGAATCTCTCAAAACACTTGAGGAACTAACTGCCAGACTGTTTTCCAAAGCAGCTGCACCACTTTACATTCTTGAGAAAAAATGGGAACCGAGTTTAGACTTCTCCACAATCTCACCAACACCTGCTATTATATAGCAGCATAAAGTATATGCAAATGCTTTCTCCCATTTTGTAAGTCTTTTCACTTTCTTGATGGTATCCTTTGAGGTGTAAAAGCTTTAATTTTGATAAAGTCCAATTTATTTTTCCTTGTATTGTTCATGTTTCCGGTGACATATCTAAGAAACTCGTGCCAAATCCAAGGTCATGAAGATTTATCCCTATAGTTTCTTCTAAGAATTGTATACTCTTAGCTCTTATGTTTAAGTCTTTGATCAATTTTGAGTAAATTTTTATATATGGTATGAGGTAAGGTTCCAACTTCATTCTTTTGCATCTGGCTATCCAGTTCTCCTAGCATCACTTGCTGAAAAAATTATTTTTGCCCCAGTGAATGGTTCTGGTACCCCTGTCAAATATCAAATGATCACAGTTGTATGGATTTATCTGGGTTCACTATTTTATTCCACTGATCTGTGTGTGTCCATCCTTATACCAGTAGCACACCATTCTTGATTACCATTGCTTTATAGTAAATCTTACAACTGAGAAGTATGAGTCCTACTACTTTTTAAAAATTTTTATTTATTTCTAGAGAGAGGGGAAGGGAGGGAGAAAGGGAGGGAGAGAAACATCAATGTGTGGTTGCCTCTCGCACTTCCCCTACTGGGGACCTGGCCCACAACCCAGGCTGTGCTCTGCCTGGGAATCAAACCGGCAACTCTTCAGTTCATAGGCTGGCCCTCAGTCCAGTGAGCCACACAAGCCAGGACTACTTTGTTCTTTTTCAACGTTGTTTTGGCTATTCTGGGTCTCTTGCAATTCCACATGAATTTTAACATCAACTATCAATTTCTACATATAAATCAGCTAGTATGCTGGTGGGGATTATGTGGAACTTGCAGATCAGTTTTGAGTATATTGCCATCTTAACAATGTTAAGTCTTTCACTTTTTGCACAAGATGTTTTCTCACTTATTTAAAGGTATAACAATATATGGTCTACATAAAGACTTCAACATATATATCAACAAACTCAGTATATAAAATTATTATCTACTAATTAATCAAATATTTCCTATTAACTTAAAACTTAGGAGATACTGAGTTTTGAAAGACAGGCTGTTTACAAAATAATACTCAACTCAAAAATCAAAGGAGTTACTGTAGCATTTCCAAAGAGAAAATTTTTAAATCAGATAGAAACTTCCACTTAATGCCTTTATCATTCACTGAAAGGCCTTAACACTGTATTAGTTCTTTAACAAAAAGGAAAGGAAAGGAAGAAATTAGTTAAATAAATCCCTCCCCTAATTTGAGACAAAAGGAGAGCAGAAAGAAGAAAATGACCATTACTACTTATACATATTAAAGTCCATAGATTTTAATTACTCTATTTAATCACTGATAATCCTTTATAATATTTCCTGGGCAATCATCTTAGTTCCATGGTGGCTAGCAACAATCACTAATGACTCTAATCTTAATAGGAAATGAGTATGTGCTTCCTTTAATTTCCAAAATCAATTCTAGCCCTTCTTTTAAAATCATACTAGACTGGTTGAGAAGCTAAATCAAAAAAAGGAAAGACCTTTTCTTCTCAGAAATTAATATTCCTCTGGCCTTTTCTCCTTCAGTAAAGCAGTTTAGCTGGCAGGCCAATGCCCATTTTATATCCATTCAAGTATCTAGAGTTAGTTTACTAACTCTAGGATTTCACCTACAAAGCTGAAAAGGCAATTGTTCTAGTTCCACAAAGAGTCGAATCTAAAACTCTTGGCTTTTTCACTACAACTGTCTGCATGAGAAGCCAGCTTGCATTTCTGGCCTTGCTCAAGAATCATATATACCCTCCAGAGCATACCAAGCATAGGAAACCATTCTATAGCAGTCACTAGCCATTCGTTCTATTACTTTAAAACCTAGTGCTGTTTTCCCTCCACAATGCACTGCCTTTTATCAAAGCTCCTACAAATTCCACTTTCCTAGTTATCAGCCTCTCCATCAACAACCCTGAGACTTCATATTTCAAACATTAGGTAATAAGAAACTTCTTTCCAGTCTTTTATACAAGAATCTCGAGCTTTTCACCACATACCTAATATTTTAATAGAATAATACACACAAATCTTAAGATACTTAACAAAGAAGAAATGAATACGAAAATTATCCTCACAAAGCATCATATATTGGAACGTCTGACAAGCCCTCAAAAAGGCCTTATAGCACAGGTGGCAAACACAAGGCCCATAGGCTGAAGCCAGCCCTCCACCTTGTTTTATCCAGCCCTGCACCTTGTTCCTATCTGGTGGTGGCGCCAAGCTCTCGCTTAACTGTTATAGTGACTTTATAACACTTTAAGAAATCCTGGCCCTGGCTGGTGTGGCTCAGTGGATTGAGCGCCAGACTGCAAACTGAAGGGTCACCAGTTCGATTCCCAGTCAGGGCACATGCCTGGGTTGCGGGCCAGGTCCCTGGTTAGGGGTGTGTGAGAGGCAACCAACTGATGGCTGTTCCTATTGCACATCATCGTTTCTCCTCCTCTTTTTCTTCCTCCCTAACCCTCTCTCTAAAAATAAATAAATAAAGCTTTTCAAAAAATTACCTCTTCAGCCCTGGCTGGTGTGGCTCAGTGGATTGAGCACCAGCCTACAAACCAAGGGGTCACCAGTTTGATTCCCAGTCAGAGCACATGCCTGGGTTGTGGGCCAGGTTCCCCAGTTGGGGGCATGTGAGAGACAACCCATACATTGATATTTCTTACCTTCTCTTTCTCCTTCCCTTCCCCTGTCTAAAAATAAATAAATAAAATCTTAAAAGAAAAAAACCTCAATTTTACATTGCATTATTTTGAAAAAGTATAAGGTACATACTTAGTACATTCTAAATTTAACAATCACAACATTCACTTAAATAAACTATCCAAATCCTTAAATCTCTTACTCCCTAAGTTTATGGCCTTTCACAGCTTATTCAACTAATGTTGCAGCAACCAGAATATCACCTCTCACAAAGACTCTTTTTTTTTATCATATTTTGGGTAAATGAGTGTGTACTAAAAAGAGTTTGTGAGGAAGGAAGACCCTGTGGAACATCCAATGATGTTCACATCAAGTCACACATTTTACAGTTTAATTATGTAAATCTTTTAATGCAGAACAAAGACAAGAAAAAAAAGATCACTTCTCAGCCTTTTAGCTAAGATCAAGTGTAGTATCTGTTCTTATCAGTTTAGTATCAGATACACCCTTTATCCAAGGATATTATATTAAATGCATTTTTGGAGCTGGGAGATAGAATTGCTTCCTCCACTCTGCACATAGACCCAGTACTGCACTACTTCTGGGAAAAGTGCACCAGAAAAAAAAAATGCCTGAAAAGAGTAAATTAACACCTTTCAAGTATATTGAACTGATTCACACTGTGAGTTAGGATTACTTATAACTGTAAAAAATCTATAAAAAACTTGAATATAATCACAATGTCCTGTGTTGAAATAAAGATCAGTATATGAAAAACCTCCTCCGCAAAAGACTTTGGGAGCAAAGAGATAGGCAGTCAGAGCTGAGGAATATAACGAAAATCCCTTTTCTCACTTCATTTCACTAAAATTTCTGCAAGCATACTGAACTGTGGAGGAAGTATTTGTTTTGAGGAAGGTAAGGAATGTTTTGAAAACTGCAGAAAATAAAAGTCTTACAGTTTACATACATGCAAGCATCATTCTGGATGCCAATAATTTGCACTGCTGTAATTACTGCTCAACATCTATTGTGAGAAATCCATCGGAGTGCACTATGTACTGCCATTGTAAAGTATACACACACAAATGACCTGTATCAATGACTTAAATATTATAACTTAAATGTTTAGGTAACGGCCACTAATTCCAGAGAAACACTATCACGCCAGGATCCTAAAGTTACCTGATTCATGTACCTGTATGTTTCAGTGCCTGACCCACACTAACCCTTACCACCTACTCCCCTAAGAAGTTATCAAGTAGAAAGCTCATATGAAAAAAAAATGAGCTCATATAGACTCTGCAGGTCAGCAAGACCTACTTACCGGCAAGTCCACACTAACATCGGTGCCATCCAGAAGTGACACTCGACATGTGATGATGGACTTAGAATCTCCAGCTGCAGGAATGTGTGTGGCAGCTCGTTGAGCTTCTCGGAGTCGTTCCTTCTCAGCATGTTTACGCATTGACCGACGCCCAAGTGTTCTACGAAAGAAGCTCAGCATTTTTGTCACTATAAAAAGTGAAAGAAAAACACATCAGAAGACTCCTGAATTTGCAGTTAGAAAAATGATGTTATTTAATATAGTCCTATGGACATTAATAGATATATATGTAATTTAAAAGGGGTCCCAATGAAGTAAATTTGAAAAAAATAATTAAAACTGGCCACTTCAATTCAAAGTTTTTAAAGACTTTATATAAAACAAAAGTATGGCTTACAGTATTTCTAAACATAGTGGACTACTTTATAAAGAGCTTATCTGATAGGAAAAGGCAAACATTTATGAAGTTCATCAGGTCTTTGAATCAATAAATTATATGTACAATAACAATATATCCCCACAAACATTAGGGAGACAATGCCATATAAGAAGCTATTCTTTGCTGATAATAATCCTAAGAAGTTCCATTTCTCTTCTGAGCTTTCATAACAAAATACAAATAATGAACACCTATTTCAACTAAAATACATATATTTCAAATATAAGTTTTTATCAAATAGTCTACTATTACTTCCAGATTTTAAATTGTTACTTAATATAAACTATTCTTTATAATATCAAATTAATGTTACTTTGTTCCTTACCTCTGTTAAGAACATTAAGGTTAATCAAAATAATTAAAATGATTATTAGCGATTTTAAAAATATAACACACAAAATGAAAATGCCACAAAAACTACTTTGCTAACCTAATGTTTGAATTTTCAAAACTAAGAGTTTGAAAAAAATAAGTACATATGACTAAGCCAACAAACAAAAACAAGGCAATTATTCATTACAGAGAAAACAAAAAGTTGTACAGAAAAGGGAAAGTAATCACAGTACACTATATGACTCAGCTAACAGTTTAATTATACTATAAGTACTAAATATTGACCTAACCATAACCATATAATACTATAAATATGAAGCTCTGACTTAACCATAACTACACATATATACACACATATGCACACACATATATATCCATAACTAACTGAATGAAGGGTATAATAGAGGCAGGTGTGGACAGAGAGCTAATTCCTCATCTTACCCAGCAGGAATTCAATAGATAACTCCTAAAACTAAAAACGAAGAAGTAGCAATAACAGCATGTTATTTAAAACGTGACAGTGGTTGGCCTGAGAAGGAAGTGAATTCAGGAGAGTGCTGATTTTCAAAAGAAGCCTTTCCATTCATTACATGACTCGTTCAACTAGATATACTTATAAACTTGATAAAAATAAAAGCTAATTTTAAATAAATACAGTCATACTAAAAAATAAGTCCCTCTCTCCCTCTCTGCCCTCCTCTCTTTCTAAAAGCAATGAAAAAATGTCCTTGTGTGAGGGGAAAAAAACTGCCTAGCCCTGGCAGTGGCTCAGTTTGTTGGAGTGTCATCCAGTACACCAAAAGGTTTTGGGTTCAGTCCCTGGTCAGGGCACATACCTGGGTTGTGAGTTTGATCCCCAGTATGGGAGACAACTGATGGATGTTGTTCACATTGATGTTATTCACATTGAATGTTGTTGAAACATTCTCAGTTATCATATATGTATTACAAGTATAGATATTCCTACATAATTAGGTAAACTGAAAAAGCCACGATACTTGTCATTTATATGTTCAACTGCTTAGATCCCAAGGAAATAACTAAAATTTTAGATAGCTTTCAAGTTTACAAAGCACTCATACAGTAACATCTGGCTCCAGTCTCCATCTCTCCAAGTTTTTTCAGGCACTGCTCCCTCTGCATCTTACTATCCAGCCTCATTTCAGCTGCGTATGAAAGGTTGTGCTGTACTTGTTATCCCAGACTTCTGTCAGAGAATCTCTCCTTATTCCTATTAACTCAACAACTCCATCTGTATCTTCCGGAAAAGAAAAGGTAGGTCTGAACTCTGAAAATATTTTACTACTTCATTAATCAGATTTTCATTATTCATTTGCAAGCCCATCTCCTTTATTGTAAGTTCCTTGAGGAAATGATTCCTACTTTGAACAGCAAGCCACCCAGCACATTTCATCAGGTACAATACAACAAATGTTTGGTAAGTACTCTTGCTTGGTCCTCAAATAAACTCCCCAAAGTACTGTCTTATTTTCATGAATAAACTGAGTCAGAGATATTAAGCCACGGGCCAGATAGTTCATTATTTAGTAAGTAGTGGAGACAGGGGCTCAAACTCTAATTTTCTGACTACAAATCTTGTTCTTTCTTTCTACTACATCATAACACCATTCAGGTCAAGTCTCATTTTAGAGATAAGAAATTATCAAAAGCCAGAGCTAAAAAGAAGTTGAATGAAAATACAAACAAAACATACATGATAAATTTATTTTTTTTTAATTAATTCAGCTTATTCAACAAATACCAAGGGAGAAATAAAAAGATGCAAAGGAAAGATCCTTCTGGGCAGCACACTGCCAGCTGCTTACTCTGCTCTAGTACCCTTTCTGCTCAGTTCAAGAGTCTTACTTTTCTCCTTATCTGTTTCATCTCTCTGGAATGCTCTTTTCCACCTCTCTCACACTCCCCCACCCTCTCCTACTTCACATGGCTAATTTCAGATTTCTGGTTGAAATGTCTTTTGCTCAGAAAGGCATTCCTCACTCCTGAGTCTAAACTAGGTGCTCCCTTTAGTACCCTCAGCCTTTTCTTTACAACCTTAAAGACTCTATAATTAAACATCCACCTGTTTAATTACTTGTTTTGGTGGGCACTTCCCCCACTAAGACACAAGGACAGGCACCTACTCTGGTTTAACAAGATGACCCAGTTAGCACAATATGCATATTAGGCACTTAATGAAGAATCTGTCTGACAAATGATAAAGTGCAATTTTTGGACGGCAGAGTCTTACAGGTTTTGTTTTTTTTTTTAAATACTAGTTTTCAGTCTATTGTTGCTAATTCCTCCGGCAGTGAACTAACAAGGGTTTCCATTATAATCATAAAAATACAAATTGACATTACTACCTAAATTAAGCGTTTTTATACAGATCTAAAACTCAAAAGTTTGTCATGAAATGTATAGACTCTCATACATGACTGGTGGCCACAATCTTCTTAATGAAGAAGTATACCAATATACTGCAAGTACCATATATTAATATCTTTTGTCCCCATAATCCCAAAGTATTTTCCTGTAAGAGAAATTTTTATTTGTAAGAGAATAATTCAACACATGTTATAATGTTCATCTTGTCTTCTAACCAAGTTTATTTATAAAGAGAAAACCCTGCCAATCAGGTGATACGCACAAATAATACATTACGTTACACAGGATTCAACAATGTGCTCGTTGTGTTACAAATCCAGTTATAAGTAATCTTCCCCCCCAAATCTTAAAAAATTGCTTTTGATATTATTTTAAAATGTTTTCAAACGGTTTAAAAGACTTGGGTCTCCTACTCTTTAGAATTTGAGACTTGGTCACCATAAAAATAGTGAGAAATACAATTCATGTTTACACACCAAAGAACCCATCATTAACTCCCCCAATGCCACCACGGGTGCGGGTAGGGTCCTCCAGACCCGGTCATTCCAGGGAGCACACCTGCCTCACATTTTCCAAGTAGCTGAAGTTTTAGTGAAACACAAATTATCTCCAAAAACACCCACGGGTTTTTGTCACAAGACCCTGACAAACTCAAGTTGTGTTTTTTCTCTGACCACCCACACAGTTCCCCAGCTGGGTGGCTAAACTGCCCACTCCGAGGTGAAGGCCCCCGCCCCGCCCCGCCCCCGTCAGGCCCGCGACCCCCACCTCCGGCAACTCTGGATCTCCGGCGGCCGCAGGGGCGGTCGCGGCACACATTAACCGACTTAGCCCGGGGCACTCCGCTCCAGCAGCACGGTATCGCCCGAAACTCCGCGGCCCCACCCCATTGGCCGCCACTACCCGTCCTCTCTCCGAGGGTTTAATTCTTTGCCCTTTGCCGGCCAGGTGGAGAAGCCACGGGCAGCCACAGGGTCCCGAGGCGAGGCCGCAGCACCGGTCGCAAACGCAGCCACCAGCACCAGGGCAGCGGCCCGGGGCTTTGAGGGGAATGGGGCGTGGAGCAAGCCGGGCGCGGGCGCTGGGCTTTGCGCTTGCTTACCTGGGCAGGGACGGCGGCCCAGCGGCCAGCAGGCGAAGTTGAGGAAGGGACAGCCCCTCGCGAGGGGCCAAGAAATGGCGGCCTGATGAGCTGAGACACACCGTGCTAATCCCCTGGACGACCCGTGGGGCCAGCGGGCCAGCCCCTGCTGTCTTCCCTAAGCTCCACCCTTGTAGGCGGAGCGCGCAGCTCTTAAATGGGCAATGACACCGCCCCGGAAATTGCTTGGCTGGGTGAAACTCTGATTAAAAGGGCGATGGCAGGCCGTAGCGACCCAGAACCAGCGATCTGGCCCCGGCACCGCGGCTGGTGGCTGCTGCCCAGCCCCGGCAGGAGTAGCTCTCTTGGTTGGGCGTCAGACCGCCAGGAGAAGGTAGCTGAGTAGATTCCCGGTCAGGGCACGTGCCAGGTTTGCAGGTTATTCCCGGGTCAGGGCGCATAGGAGAGGCAACCAATCAATGCTTTTCTCTCACGTCACGTTTCTCTCCTTCTTTCTCCCTCCCTTCCCCTCTCTCTAAAAATAAATAAATAAAATCCTTTCAAAAATAAGTAAATAAAGAGGCGCTGTCTGAAAACCATCCCTGGCTATCAGACCTCAGGGCTGAGAGGGCGTAAAGACTAGCAGCTACCCTAAAAAATTAGTCCTATCACAAAGGGAGCCTCTCGGTGCTAAAAGATTCGTTCATTCGTTCCAGAAATTAATTAATTTAGCAAATATTTACAGCCCTGTTGTTAAAAGAACCTTCATGCTAATAAGTATTGTGAAGAAAAATAAAGCAGAGAACGATTAACAAGGAGATTGCTATTTCACCTAGTGTACTCAGGGAGATCCTCTATGACAAAGGGACTTTCATCTATTCTCTACCTACAGACAGTTTATGGAAGTGCCTGCTATGGATCAGGATGTGTTCTAGACACTGGAGATAAAACGCATAAAGAAGATAGACAAAACTCCGCCCTGGCTGGTGTAGCTCAGTGGATTGAGCGCGGGCTGCGAACCAAAGCATGGCAAGTTCGATTCCCAGCCAGGGCACATGCCTGGGTTGCAGGCTACGCCCCCCCCCCCCCCGAACGGCACATTGATGTTTCTCTCTCTCTCTTTCTTTCTCCCTCCCTTCCCTCTCTAAAAATAAATAAATCTTAAAAAAATGTTTAAAGAAGATAGACAAAATTCCCTCATGCAACTTAAGTCCAGCAGGAGAGAGAGAAAATAACTGAGATCAAATTAGTTAAATTAAATAATAAGTTAGGCACTGTTAAATGACAAAGAAAAAAATTTAAATCAGAACAAGGTGCAATTTTTGATAGATTGGCTAAGTGAGGAAGAAGATGTTAATCAGAAGGTTGTATATGAATATTCACAAAGTTGTGCAACCATCCCCACAATCTAATTGTAGATCATTTTGTCATCTCTCATGGAAAGAAAAGCATGGATGTACAAGGGTGGGAGGAATTGTTGGGGGTCATTTTTACATCTTTATCTCAATAAAAAAGCAATGATGATGATGATACAGGAAGGAGTGAAAGAGTGGGCATATAGATGTAGGGAGAAAGGATCATGGATTGAAGGTGGGTAGATAGGACATTAAACTGTTATATTTTATGTATGGATTTAATTTTTTTCCATAGTGAAAAGTTTTTATAAAATACTATCGGGACCATGTACCCCTTGGAAAGCCTTCATGACTCCTGAGGGGTCTAATTACCCCTGTTAGAAAACTGTACATTCTTGGGTGCTATCCACTCAAGTCTACCAATGCCACCTCCCTCCAGGTATTACCCAGTGTGTACATATTTGAAAGCTGTATGGTAATATATCTGTTTACTGATTTTTTAAAAAAGGAAGCATTTTTTGTCAATTCTTATAAACCTACTTCATTGTCCTAAATTGTTGCATAACACACTAGTTTGGAGAAAATGACTTTTTCCTCCTCTTCTGCTCAGTTTTTTTCCTACATCTTATCAAGAGTAAGGTTGATGGAGGCTGTGGATGAGGTGAAATAGGTTGAGAAAGATGGTGATAGGCTTAAGGAAAAATGAAACACAAGGACCCAAGTCATACAAAGTTGTACATGATCTAATCAGCTAAGATTATTCCTAATAATAATTTATCACCTCCCAAAATCCTCTCTATCAGACATAAATAAACTTCATGGCACCCATGTTTTGTAGTAAATTAGCCCACTGACTCCCACCAGAGGCAGAGAAGTCTCTCCTCTTGAAGACAGTTGAATTAGTAAAAAATGCAGTTGGAGCCCTGGCTGGCATAGCTCAGTGGATTGAGTGCGGGCTGGGAACCAAAGTGTCCCAGGTTCGATTCCCAGCCAGGGTACATTCCTGGGTTGCAGGCCATAACCCCCAGCAACCGCACATTGATTTTTTTTCTCTCTCTCTTTCTCCCTCCCTTTCCTCTCTAAAAAATAAATAAATAAAATCTTTGAAAAAAATAAATAAAAAGCTAGTCTAAAAAAATGCAGTTGGCTGAAAGTAATAGGGAAACAGTGAGTAATACTTAACAAAATAAGGAACTTCTTTTTCCCACATAAGTAATCTAGAGGTAGGCAGCTGCCTAGTGTTACTTCAGCTCCTCAACAATGATATAGTATCCTACACTCTTTTACTCTCTCTGGTCTCTCATTCTTGGCATGCAGAGTCTGGTTTTTCTGCTTGTAGCCTATTGGCCACAGGAGGGCTGCAATATCTCCAGTTCTGAGTTTCAGAAATGAAAAAGGGAAAAAGACCTGTTTTATTTTTATTATTTATTTATTTATTTATTTTATTTATTTCTAGATAGAGGGAGGGTGGGAGAGAAACATCAGTGTGTCGTTGCTCTCACATGTCCCCAACAGGGGGACTGGCCCAAAACCCAGGGATGTGCCCTGACTTAGACTCAAACCAGATACCCCTCAGTTCACAGGCTGTTACTCAATCCATGAGCCACACCAGCCAGGGCTTGAAGGATATGTATTTTTAAAGATTTTACTTATTTATTTTCACAGGGAGGAGAAGGGAGGGAGAGAGAGAGGGAGAAAACATCAATGTGCGAGTGAAATATCAATTGGTAGCCTCTTGCACGCCCCCAGCCTGGGATCTGGCTTGCAACCCAGGCATGTGACTTGAACCAGTGACCTTTTGGTTCTCAGGCCAGTACCCAATCCACTGAGCCACATCAGCCAGGGCTTGAGTGATGGTTTTAAGTGGATTTTTATCTGTCAGGCAGTTAAGTAACTTGTAAATTAATCTGATCATTTTGAGGTTTAAAGATCTTTTAGACGAAAGCAAAGTAGCCTTTTTACTAAAGCTTGTTTAGCCTCACTTCTAAGCCTGGCTTTTCTTGGGTTTTTACTGAATGCCCTGTATTTTGAAAGAGGCTTCTCCACTGGCTTGAAAGGAACTTGAATTACTCCCATCATTGTGGCCAGCTCTGGGGCTATTCATGTTACTACTTGGTAATTGTCTTTCCTCAGATGTTTTAGCCTGGCCTTATTTCACCATAGGCAAAGATTAACATTCAGTGCAGAACTCAAGGTGGCTTTTATGTAAATTTCTTGAATTCCCTCTCTATGTAGTTTCCTCCTCTGGAAATTTGCTTTATGCCTTCTAACAGCCCCAACTTTCTAAAACTTTGATGTATCTCCCAAATAGCAAGATTACAGTCCTATTTGAGTTCTGTATTTCTGTACCAGTTTATAAATGTCTCCACATATATAGCTTATGGTAAGGCTCACCTCACCTACTTTTTTTTTCTCAGGTATTATAGCCTTGCTCTGCTTTGGTCTAATATTGTACAAATTGTTTCCTATATTCTGTCAAACTTTATAGTTGTTCACACTAGAAGTCTGATTCTGGGCTCTGTAACTACCTCATGAAGCAGAAGTCTGAATAATATTTTTGTTAAGTAGACTTACATTATAAAAACAAAGAACCCAAATAAGGAATTCACCAAAAAAGAAATATACATGATCAACAAACACATTGAAAGATATTCAGTCTTGCTAATCAAATTTATATATACATCATTGCATATGGGAACATATAAAAGTCATAATATCCAGCAGGGATGAAGACACACATCATTGATGAGATTTTAAAGTGATATATGAGGTCTGTCCAGAAGGTATCCAGCCATGTAATATGAAAAAGACATTTATTGAAGAAGATACAAGATACAAGAAATGTTGTACAAAGGACAATGATGCCTTAGTTCCCTTCAAAGTAGGCACTTTAGGACCTCACACAGTTCTCTCAATCACCATCAACTGCCCCATTGTATTTTCTGAATCTCATTGAACTTATGAAATCTCTTCCCTTTCAACGATGATTTCAGATTTGGGAAAGCCAGAAGTCACAAGGTGCCAAATCTGGGCTGTTAGCAGGGCTGAGTCATCTGGGTGATGTGATGTTTCACCAAAAAATTCTGCATGAGACATGATGCATGTGATGTGTTGTTGTGACGAAGCTGCCCATTACCAGTTGCCCATAGTTGTGGCCTTCTGAACCATCCAAACAATTTCCACTTAGGAATGTTCAAGCTTAACACGAAATTTGTTGCTCTACTTGCTCAGTCATTTTGAATATGATGGCCACACAGTACACATGCTCACTCAACGGCATCTACCGCCCCCACTGACCAGTACAGTGAAGTCATCATTGTTCACACATGTGCATTCCAGTCCATGCTCCTTGGCTACCAGGTTACATCAGTGTTGCCCAAACCATTGTTATATTAACAATGGTTGGGTGTTTTCTGGGCAGACTTCATATATATATTTAAATATATATGTAAACATATAATTTAAAAATATGTTTACATATATATTTATTTAAATATATATTTAAAACATTAAAAATGGTAGGTTTAATATTTACTTGTTTTACTGATAAAAATTTCTTGTCTAGAAAGACAATTCAGTTAGTGAAAGCTGATTAATGATTTGTATGCTGAGGTGCTCAGGGATGAAGTGTTCAGATGTTAACATCATTTTATGAAATGTGTAAGAAAGGATGAATTGATGGATGGAGAAAGGCTTGGTAGATGAACATGTATGTGATAAAGCAAATACAGCTGAGTCTTAATTGTAGACCCTAGGGAATATATTTCTTTCCTTACATGTGAACATTTTTATAATACAATGTTTGAAATTTCATATATA